CCCGGCCCCCCCCCCCCACCCTTGTGAGTGCAAACTGCAACACTCACCACTGGATCCTTCCCCAGCTTCCGAAGATATACGGGAGATGTCGGGGCTGCTGGAGATGATCTTGAGCTGCAGGGTCACGCTGCTGCCCTGGTCCTCCTCCTCATCTGACCCTCTGGCTGGCTCATCTTCCTCCCCCGCCTCACTGGGCCTGGTGACGGAGGGGCGCCTATTCATGTCCACGGGTCAGACAGTCCGTGGGGTGGTGCCTGGCCCAGGATGCGGTGGAGCCGCTGGTAGTGGGGGCAGGTGTCGGTTCCTGCCCCCTGGCCCTCACTGGCCAGGACGTAGCCCAGGCGCAGCTCTTTCACCTTAGCCCGGACTTGCTCAAGGGTCCGGGCTGGATGTCCCTCGTGGAAGAGCGCCTGGGCCATGTGGTCAAAGATATCCGCATTGCCGCGACGGAAGCGGGTGTCATGGAGGGCCTCCTCTTCTTCCCAGAGGTACAGGAGGGCCTCCAGCTCCCTTGCAGACCAGGATGGGATCCGTTTTTGGCCCCTTGGGGCCTCCTGCACTGGGGGTGCGGGTGGCTGTTCCCCCCTGGAGCTGTCACCCTGCTCTGGTGGCTTTTGGGGACGGCAGTAGCCGCATGGCACAGCTTTGAGCAGAGGCAGCAGAAAGGCTTCTGCCTCATGGCCTCTGCAGGCTGCGTCTGCCTTTAAGGAGTCTCGGGTTACTAGGAAGTCCAGAGCTGCTTGCAGGTCCGGAGCGTCCAAGCAGCGACTAAGGCTTTTTTCCGTTTAGACTGCTTTTGTGCAAAATGTCTTGACTGTCTGTCTACACTGGCCTCTTGCACAAGAACACTTGCACAAGAGTGCTTATTCCTGAGCGGGAGCGTCGGAGTATTTGCGCAAGAAGCACTGATTTCGTACATTACAACATCAGTGTTCATGCGCAAATACTTGCGGCCAGTGTAGACAGGCGGCAAGATTTAATGCCACAGTGTTGGGCTGCTGTGGTGTTTTTCCTACCACAGGGATGTTAAATTTTATTACATTATGGTTGCTATTTCCAAGTGGTCCAGTTATATTTACCTCTTGGACCAGATCCTGTGCTCCAGTTAGGACTAAATCAAGAACTGCCTCTCCCTTTGTGAGTTCCAGAACCAGCTGCTCCAAGAAACAGTCATTTAATGTATCAAGAAATTTTATCTCTGCATGCCAACCTGAGGTGATGTGTACCCAGTCAACATAGGTATAGCTGAAATCCCCCACTATTATTGAGCTTTTTATTTTGCTAATCTCTCTAATCTCCCTTAGCATTTCATGGTCACTATCACTATCCTGGTCAGATGGTCAATAATATATCCCTACTGCTATTTTCTTATTAGCAGAGCATGGAATTACTATCCATAGAGAGTCTATGAAACATTTTGATTCATTTAAGATTTTTACTTCATTTGATTCTATGTTTTCTTTCACGTATAGTGCCACCCCCCACCAGCATGACCTGTTCTATCCTTCTGATATATTTTGTACTCTGGTATGACGGTCTGGTATCACTGTCACATTGACTATCTTCATTACACCAAGTTTCTGTAAAGCCCATTATATCAATATCCTCCTTTAAGACAAGGGACTCTAGTTCACCCATTTTATTATTTAGACTTCTAGCATTTGTATATAATCACTTTAAAAATTTGCCACCATTTAGCTGTCTACCACTGCATGATGTTATTGAAAGGGATTCTTTTTCATTTGACTGTTTCTCATCAGATCTTACCCATATTTTATCATCTTTCATCCTCTCTTCCTGATTATAACAGAGAATCTCTATTAACACACCCTTCCATAAGGGATGTCTCTGTCTGATCCATGTGCTACTCCGCACCCATCACCTTTCCCCCTCGCCCTTAGTTTAAAAACTGTTCTATGACCTTTTTAATGTTAAATGCCAGCAATCTGGTTCCATTTTGGTTTAGGTGGAGTCCCTCATTCCTGTATAGGTTTCCTCTATACCAAAAGTTTCCTCAGTTCCTAATAAATCTAAGATCCCTCCTCTTTATACCATCTTCTCATCCACACATTGAGACTCTGAAATTCTGTCTGCCTACCCGCATGGAACTGGAAGCATTTCAGAGAATGCTACCATAGAGGTCCTGGATTTCAATCTCTTTCTTAACAGCCTAAATTTGGCATCCAGAACCTCCCTCCTACCCTTTCTTATGTCACTGGTACCTACATGTACCATAACCACTGGCTCCTCCCCAACATTACACATTAAGTCTATCTAGAAGTCTCAAGAGATCCACAACCTTGATACCAGGAAGGCAAGTCACTATACGGTTCTCCTGGTCATCATAAACCCAATTATCTATGTTTCTAATGATTGAATCCCCCATTACTAACACCTGCCTTTTCCCAATGACGGGAGCTCCCAGGTATCCTCAGTGCGAGAGGATACCATAACATCATCTAGAAGGAGGGTCCCAAGTATGGGATGGTTTCCATCTGTTCCCATTGAGCCTTTCACCCTCCTTAACAGCACAGACTATCTGACTGGAGGTGGCACAGTTCTACAGTGTTATACAATTACCATATCTAAAATGAAACTTCACTCTTGGTGGGGTGGCTAGTTGCAGCCAATTACAGCAAAACAGTAAGAGGAAGGAAAAACTTGGCCAAATTTCTTACAAAAAATGCTGAGGTATCTTGAATGCTCACACTGAATAGACAGCATGTCTCTTCCAAAACATATCAGTATATCATCATCTGCAGGGAACTGCTGTATCTGCCATTGAAGGAAAATGGCCTCAACTTACCATGCTGTGATCTTATCTTCCAATTCCGAGCAGTCCACCAGTAGGCATTTTAATCCTGCTTCTTAAAATGTTACTCTGATTGAGCAATTTTGTTGCACTTGAACAAACAGATCCCAATTCTTCAACCATTCTGCATATGAGCAACTTTTTCCCAATGAATAACCCCATTGAACTCAGTGAGACTAGTCCTATGTGTACAGTAACTCACAAGTATAGCTGGGAGTTTACACTGTCCATGTGGAGACAAAGACTAAGATTTCTGGCCGCTGTGGTATGACAAGTACAGATGTAATGGCTCACAACAGACCCTTGGTAATGAGTTGTTTGAGAATTAAATGTAACTGCCATACTGTACCTAAAGAAGTAACATCCTCATCTGTCAATGCACAGTTGTTTAGTTGGAGAGTTTTTAACTTGCTCACATTATGGAGCTGAAGAGTAAGGGGTTTCAGAGCTCTTCCTATAGAATCATTCCAGGAAAGATTGAGCTCTTCCAGCTCTGGTAGAAAAGGTAACACAGCAACTAGAGGTAAAAAAAACAACAGCAGCAAATATAACCCATTTAATTTGTAAATGTGTGTGTATGTCAATATGTCCCAATGTAAAGGTGCTTTTCTAAACTAATATAATATGATACAGAATGATTTGTCTTCAGAATAAACACTCTGTACACCTCAGCTTTCCTATCTGTAGAAAGGGTATAAGGATATCTATCTCCCTTGCAGCATTGCTGTGTGGCTTAAATTGTTACTGAATGCTTGCAAAATGCTTTGGGATCATCATATGAAAATGCTGAATAGGAAGAAAGGAGAAGGAAAGTGGGGGAAAGTGGGATTGAACTATTTCATTGGCAAATAAGAATAGAAAACTCTGTTCCATAAGTAGCTAATGCTTACCTAGCTCCATTAAATCAGTTGCCTCTAATGCACAATTATTTAGGTCCATATTCTTCCTGTTGGGCTTCCTACCCAGTCTGTGCATGAATTGCTTAACTCTCCATATACCAGATGTTGTGTCTGTTTTGGAAATGAGATGAGGAGGTTTGTCTGCATAACCAAAAACAGGGTTGTGGTTACCTTTACAAGCAATCTAATTGATGAGATTTTGTTTTGTGTAACTACAATTGTCAGCTTAAGACATGACATAAAACATATTAACTCTGATGGAATTTGTGGAATGGCTGCATTCCCATTTTAGAGGCCACTAGTGGAACCTCTGAACCACGTTAGTTGTCCATTGTTACCATGAGTAATGGGAACAAGTGCACCATGCCCTGTTGATGGTACCTGATGCTGAATGAGAAAAAAATCTTCCTTTGGAAGTCTTGGGCTGGTCTACACTGAAGACTTTTGATATTAACAGGACCAGTTCAAGCACATGAAAATTAGTGTAAATCACTAATCAGATGTATACTGTGTATGGTTACCCCTGCACTAGTCCTGCACTAGTATTATAAGCACCTCAGTTCAGCCCATTACAGTGCTGGTATAGACTGGAAACAGTCAACACAGCTTCACCAGTTCAATTAGTCCTTGTAGTGCAACCCCACAGTGCTTCTGCTCACCCTTCAGGGACAGCTCTGAGTACTGTTTCCACCCTATTTTATGCATGTCCAATAGATACTGGGGTGGCTCTTAGAAGGTCTTGGGTCTGCACAACAATTCCTCTTTCATCTTACTTTCTTACAAATTGGAATGAATAAGTAACAGTGCACCTATTCTGGCCTTTAGGAACAGTAAGCAAATATGTAAAAATACTCCTACAGAAATTTTAAATAATACCCGTCCAAAAATGAGCAGCCAAAAACTGACCAAAAGACAGCAACCCCTTCTTTCCACATTTTGACTCTGCTCCCTTTTTGCAAACCTCACCTTCAACCACCCTTCAAATTAGAAGATTGATTTCCATCCTCAATTGGTAAGTAATACCTGCTTTTGCTGTTGTCTTAAAATTGCTATAGTAGCAGGGATGGCAGAGTCAGACCTTAAACACAAGTAAACCAAAACTGCCACACCAGGGGCTAATGTCCCACATAAACTCTGCAACTGATGAGCTTCTATTGTCATTGATCTCTCACATGTGGAACCAAGAAGAGGAACTCAAAAGCTTAATCCCTCCCTATAGCCTAGAAACATGGGTCCCAGTTCACACTTCATGTCTCTCAAATGATAAGACCTAGCATGACAATGGCTTACTCAGGAGAAAAACACATAAAAATAAACTAACAATAAATCACAGGATTTTGTCTGGCAGTAAAACAAAGCACTCTTTCATTATTTCCAATGCACCCAACACTGTGGTATCAGCATTACCTGCTGCAGGAGGAGCTTGCTCCTCATTCTTACTATCTGTTTTAGACTTATGGATTTCTACACCTTCACTTTCTGCTTTGCTTTTGCCAGTAGATTTCCCAGTGGGTAAACTCTTGAAGAATCTAGTGCTTGGTGAGCACTGATGTTTTCCCTTTTCTATAGAGGATTTTTTCCTTTGGATCTGGTTCATAATCAGCTGAAATGGAGATCTCTTCAAGACGCTCCCTTCACATCTATCCTGGGAACTCTGGTTCACACCTTTCGGAAAATTGATAAACATGAGTAGAAGTGTTTTACAGCATTTATTACTGGTTACTTTCCCCTTCCCCTGTCATAACAGTGTATATGATCAGGAATTTCATATCTGCTTTCCCACCATTCTCTCCAGATCAGTGTCAATGGTATGTCATTCAGTGGACCAGATTCAGAATTCATTGCAATGCCTGATGCCTTCAAAGGGCGCTGCAGGTGTTCAGCACCACAATAGAGGTGCCGACTATTTTGCACAAAATGGACCTAATGGACAGTCTCTACTGTGCTGGTGCCATTTTATGTTAGTTCATTGGTCAGAGTAGTTCTAAAAGCCATCTTATCTTATCAGTGGAAGGGAATACCTGGGTGGGTAGCTCCTTTGTCACCTCCTTCCTAACAGTCTACCTGAAAATTATTTGCATATATCCCTTTGCCAAATGTTGGGGATGACATTCTAGAGCTCCCACTGACTTCAGTGAAGCTAGGAGTTTACCCTCTGCATTTACATAAGCCAGAAAAGTCTTGTGATTTGCTTTTACCAGCTAATTTCAGGTATAATGCAAGCATTACTTTTCTCAGAAGAAAAACAAAATTATAATGTAACATCAGAAACACTGGGTTCTTCTTACATAGTTCTTATACCAGCAATTAGGCTGAAACATTCCTTTTATATACAGCTAATTTTTATGAAACTTTGTTTTGTTTTTAAATGTTTTATTTGGTTTTAATGGTGTTTTGTTGGAAAGTTTGTGCAGAGACAAGTGCTTAAGAAGTGGGAAAGGAAAACTTTTGCATACCATTATTTATTACTTGATTAGTCAAAACTACATTTCTCATAACAGGGAGATAATATAAAGCAGAATTATATATACATGATGTAAAGCAATTCTATTTACTTTTGTAAGTTTGTATGCACTGGTACTGAAATATTTTAATAGACAAAGTTACCTACCTGTCTTTTCCATTTCTGGAATAAAGGATCAGTTGCACCTTTTAAAACCCTTTCATCGCTTGGAAAACAAATGCTCCATACTCTAAACATGAAGGACTCTCTTCCGTAAGTGCCAGATTTTCTAGGGTGTTTCCATTTTGTTGTTGTCCTTTGGCAAAAAGTTTCTGTCTTCACCAATTTGAAATCAGCTGCTCAGTACAAACGGGCTGATCAAATACAAGTTGTGGGCTATTTGTTCTGCTGATTTTGAGCTGTCAGGTCTCCCAAAATATTTAGCAAACACTCTTTTTTAAATCAGATCCATGAATAATTCATTTGACTAGTCTTGCCAAGTTTTCTTTTTAGAATAAATTAATAGTAAAAAAATGAGGAAGTCATGGCATGGACTTCAGTACTGATCTTTTTACCTCCTACAGGTTGTTGGAAGCAGCTGATTTTAAAAGGCTGAGTCAGTTTATAGATCAAATTACAAGACTATCTGAAGAAAAAGCTCTTTGTTTCTTCCACCTCTTTGCTGAGTGCACTCTAAAAGGACTTATAGGAGCGTGAACAAAGCAAAGCCTTTAAACAGTTTGCATACTTTGGTTGGAAATGTTTTAGTAAGAGAAACAGTAGGAGTTTGCTTGTTTTTGTTCACATAAAGTACACGATTGTCTGGACTGTAATTGATGCAATTCTATAAGCCAAACTTGAAATCCTTGTTCACTCATATCTCCCACTCAAGGTTCCCTTTGCTTAATCAGCACTGCCCAGTCAGATAGCTCTGTGGAGCCCTGAGCCCCTAACTGGGTGGGGCTGAATAAGCAGTCTCAGAGTTGTATTGCCACTCAGCTTAAAGAGAACCTTGCTTCCACTGAAGTCAGTTTTGTCTGAGTAAAGTTTGAAGGAGCTGTTCCTGTGTCTTTAACTGCAGCAAAAAAAGTTCAGTTCTGGATTGACAGGAGTCCACAAACCAAGACACACCACGATGATTACTACTAGCAGGGCCTGTCCTATGCCAAATGGCATCCGAGGGGAGGAATATCTTTGGCGCCCCCCTCTCTGTTAAACATTTGAATACCTTACAGCACTCTGTGCCTGACACCCATTCAGTTGCCTGGATTGCTTGCCCCTAAATCTGGTCCTGACTACTAGTAAGCACTTTTGTCTACAGTTATAGAAGAAAATCTAAGGACTGTATGGCTCATGGAGTCTGAACTACTCTCTTCTGCAGATGCAGTTTTTCTGGGTCAAGAAGAGGAATATGGATAGGGCAATATATGGAAATTTATTCTGCTATTGCTTGTGTTATATCTGTTTTGTGGGTAAGCAGAGTACCTTCTACTCCAAGGCTGTGTCTACACTGGCCCCTTCTCCGGAAGAGGCATGCTAATTTCTAACTTTGGAATAGGGAAATCCGTGGCGGATTTAAATATCCCCCGCGGGATTTAAATAAACATGGCCGCAGCTTTTTTTCTGGCTTGGGGAAAAGCCGGAAAAGAGCGTCCAGACTGGCGCGATCCTCCGGAATAAAGCCCTATTCCGGAGGATCTCTTATTCTTATTCTTATACTTTCAAGTAGGAATAAGAGATCCTCTGGAATAGGGCTTTATTCCGGAGGATCGCGCCAGTCTGGACGCTCTTTTCCGGCTTTTCCCCAAGCTGAAAAAAAAGCGGTGGCCATATTTATTTAAATCTCGCGGGGGATATTTAAATCCCCCGCGGATTTCCCTATTCCAAAGTTAGAAATTAGCATGCCTCTTCCGGAGAAGGGGCCAGTGTAGACGTAGCCCAAGACTATGAGACTGGCCCACAGGGTGAGCATTAAATCCTTTCAAATAATACAATGGTAAAAATTAAGGAGGATGAGTTACTAACTCTATCCTCAAAGAATTCTGTCTTCCCAATATACAGAAAGGTACTATGATCATGAACAGAGGCCCACTGATAAATCATGTATCCAGCAAAACCTACCTGATCCACCAAAGATACTGACAAACTAGAGGGCATTTGGCAAAGAACAACAAAAATTATCAGGATAGGGGCTGAAGGAACTGATGGCTGAAAAGCAATTATATAGTTTGGCTAAAAGACAGGTGGTGTGGGAAAACATACCAGTCTGTAAATAGCTGCACGGTTTAAACACCAAGGAGAGGGAGGAATTATCTAGGTTGATGCATAGGAGTATAGCTAGGAGTAAACAGGATAAGATTAAGACAGGAAAAACCTGTAGCGAATATCAGGAAAATCTTCTTGACAGTATTAGGCTGTGAAAGAGTCTCTCAATTGTGCAAGAGGTGCTTAAACTAGACCGGAAAAAGAGTGTGTTGCAGTGAACTTTCTACCCTTGCTGGCAGAGAAATGGAGGTATTGGCCTAACACAGTGTTTTCCCCGGGAACTGAAATTAGGAGGTGTATTTGAATTTACAGGGAGGTGTTAGGGCCATTGTCAGGTAAGACTGTGCAGGTGAAGGTGGCGGTATGTTTTCCAATGTGCACTACTTTGCATCTAGCAATCTCAACTATACATATAATATGATGGGGTCTAAATTAGCTGTTACCACTCAAGAAAGAGATCTTGGAGTCATGGTGGAGAATTCTCTAAAACCATCCACTCAATATGAAGCAGCAGTTAAAAAGGCTAACAGGAACTTAAGAACAATTAGAAAAGTGATAGATAAGACAGAAAATATCATAAGACTTTATATAAATCCATGGTTTGCTCATATCTTGAATACTGTGTGCAGTCTGGTCACCCCATCCTCCCCAAATATATATATTGGCATTGGAAAAGGTACAGGGAAGGGCAGGAGTGACTGGTGAAAGATGACATCAGGGGCCATTGGCCCCATGACCCTTCCCCCAGCTCAGGGAAGGGCCAGGACAACCCCCGAAAACTGCAGACTTTGCCTCTTCCTGCTCTGAGCCTCCTTGAATCTTCTCATCCTTTGCTCCACCCCCATTCTGCCTCTTCCCCCAACTAATGTGGCCTAGAAGACTAGAAGGGCTGGAGGTACCCTGGAAGACAGGTCCAGCATGGGTAGCAGTGGTCTGGTCTAACTCACTGGCAGTTATGGATAGAGTCCTGTGTGGATACAGATACCCATGGATATAAAGAGGATATCCACACATTTTCAGTGTTCTAGATACAAAATGTGTATCCACATCTGTATCAGCAAAAATGAGCCACAGATATCTGCATTCACATCCACATATGCAGATACTTAGGATTATAAAGCAGATATCTACAGATTTGGAGGGCTCTAGCCACAGTGAAAGCGGAACAACATGGCCCCAGCTCGCTCTGCTTCCAGACCACATCGCTTCACTTCTCTCTGGTGAGTGCAGGAGGAATAACACTAGTTTGAATTAGGAGCTTTAATTCAAACTACCTAGTCCATGCCACGTGTAGCCGCAAGCAGGTAGTTCGAACTACGGGGTATTTAAAAATGGCAGTGCCCAGGAACATGCAAATAAAGCCCGGGATATTTAAATCCCAGGCTTCAGTTGCAAGTTCGAATGCCTACATTAGCCACTCTAGTTTGAACTAGGGTGGCACTGAAGACATACTCATAATGTTATCCTGATTCCTGATGCTAGTTACTTTGTACAGTATAAGTGATGCTCATTCTGACTGGTTCAGTCCTCTGAGCTATGCTTTTGTCGTCTCGCTATATTTCATCTTGTCATGTCTCCAAGCACCTCATCTCACATTTCTTGCCACTGCCAGACCAACTCCAGTTTATCTGACCCACTACCTTGCCCTGCTCTTTTCCTTCTTGTTTGGGAATCCAGTGTTAGGGGGTTGAAATGTGGACAAGTTGTTCCCTTTGGGTCTGTCTAGACTACATGGCTCCATAGACAGAGCCATGTAGATGAGTTTACTAGACATAGGAAAATGAAGCAGCAATTTAAATAATGGCCGCTTCATTTACATCAAAATGGCCACCACGCTGTGCCGATCAGCTGCTTGGCAGCACAGCGGAGCAGTCTGTACTCACCGCGGTCGACAAGGGAAGCCTTTGTCGACCACTCTGGTATGCCTTGTGAAATGAGGTTTACCGGAGCAGTTGAC